CTATCCTGTTTAAAAAAAAAAGAATTTGGCCTCTTCAACCTAGAATTGGAGGGGTTAAGAAACATTGGTGACCTTCCCTTCTCAGTGAGGCATCCTTTGATTGAGAGCTGAGGGGGGGAAAGGGAGCCCCAGCTTCATACCCGCAGTGCCCTGAATACAGCATCCATCAAGGTGAGAAAGGGAGAAAAAAGAGGATGTCATGCCTCAAATGCCAAGGCTGTAGCTGTTCTTATCGAATTTTAGTACATTCTCTTAAATATGTGTTTCTTTATGTGTTGGATGTGCTTAGGACAATGCCCCAAACTTTAAGTGGTATTTTTAAAATTCTGTTTTTAAATAGAGTTTTCATCAGTTTTGCTTGTCTCATTAGGGACCAACTCCTTGAAGGTACAGACACTGCTATCGTAGAAGTGGAACTTCTCATGTCTTTCTAGTCTTTCATTTTAAGTGGATTTATGCTTTTCTCTTTTGTGAGAATGTGCTTTTGGAAGCCAGATCACACAAGTTTCAATTCCTCTATACTAACGAACCTTGAAACTTCTCTGTTCTTCAGATTCCTCATCTGTAAATGAGAATAATAACATATTCTTGCAGATGTGCATCCATCTGGCCTCTCTCTTCTCAAAAGTCTGATGAGAAGGCACCTGTGGTGGGTGTAGCTGGAAGGCATGAACAAGTAGTGAGCAACTCTTGCAGAGTGGAAAGCAGACCTACCAGGGAACAGGGCTGGATTGAGTTATCAAAGTTTGTAGTCTGCGATTTAAGTGAAACCAGCCATCCTAGCCCTGTGATTTTCTTTAGCAAATCCAGGGACCTGGGTCCAGACTTAGAGAAAGTGGTCAGTGATGTATATCATGACTAGGGTTGGGTAGATGAATGGTTGTATATTCTAGATGAATGGCTGTATATTCACCAGTGTGTGATGGACAAATTGGTTCTGGCCTGTTTTGGAGGTATGCAAAGATAGGAGGGCTTATGATAGGTGTGTCAGGTGGGGACCTTAATGAAGCTGAAGAACTGTGCTAATCAGTGAGTGAGCTGGAAGATTGGAGATGGTAGTCAGTGAATGTAGTGCCTGAAATCAAGATTTTGAGAGTGATGCTGCTCATTGGAGACAAACAGGGTTCTGGATGGCCCTAGGCATGTGGGGAACTAAAGTGAGATGGGGAATGGCATGATTGGCGAGAGGTTTCGAAACTGAGAGTGCTGTTTGTCCTCATGGAGGTAAAGTCGTAGGATATCATGGACATCATGGCAGTAGACATGCAGTAGACAAGACAGTGAGTTCAAGGCTTCAGAAAATGATGAGAAGCAACCTAGGTCTAGGAGGCCATCAGATGCCTGCAAGGAAGAATTATTAGTGTCCAATGAATGGTTGATTTCAAGGAGGAAGAGTGGTTTGGGAGCAACTGTAGGAAGAAATGAGGATTCTGTGTATCTCTCAGCCTTGAGGTAGGAGAGCTGAGAGACGAACCATCCTCCACTTGAGAAGAGCCTTTCTTCTACGTTGAAAAAAAAAACCAAACTCACTGCCATTGAGTTGATTCTGACTCATAGAGACCCCTATTGGGTTTCTGAGGCAGTAAATCTTTATGGAAGTAAGTTGCCTTATCTTCCTTCCACGGATCAGCTGGTGGGTTTCAACTGCCTACCATCTGGTTAGCAATCAAATGCCTTGGACATTATACCACACCAGAGCTCCTTTCTTCCATGCTAGGGGAAGCTATTTTCAGCCAGAATTCAGATAAGGCAGGAGATAAAGAGCATGGAGGATGTGGAGCAGAACGCTGCTCCCTGGTGGCAATGCACGCAGTGCTGGGGAAAAATTTGGGAAGCAGGAGTGGTGGGTTGGGTCAGGTGAAGGTTGGGTACTGCCAGCATGAGTCCAGATGAGGGGTGGCCTGGTGGTGATGGAGGTAGACAGTGAGGTGAGCATCAGAGGTCTTGATGGCCACATGGAGGTGGCCTGGTTTAAGCTGGTGCTGGAGATATTGGACCTCCTGGCCACCAGTCACTCCTGAAGCTTCTGATTATGTGACAGGTGAGGCAGGTAGGGGATTTTTACCAGGTCTGTGCCAGCCACAGACAACTTTTCCTTGTTGTACTCTCACTTACTGACTTTGTTGTTGTTGTTGTTTGCCGTCGAGTCGGCCCCGACTCATAGCGACCCCTCCTTGGGTTTCCGAGGCAGTATCACTACGGAAGTAGGATTGCCCAACCTTCCTTCCGAGGCATTGTCTATATTACAAGAGAATTAGTTAGGTCAAACAGTTCATGAGATACATTTAGAGGCAATTTCTTTTACTCTGATTTTGCAGTATTTGCACATCTGTCTGATATTATGTGCTTTGAGATGTGAGTTCAAAATCCAATGAATATATACTGTAAGTGTTACTGATCAGCAGGTCAGGTGTCTGTGTTCCTGGTACCTAATGCTGCAATATGAAGTCGTCTTCCTTCAGCTAAGTGTTTTTATAACATTTCAGCATTGCTGTCTCCCAAAGAAGTCATTTTTGAAATTTCTCAAGTAGTATTCTCAGCTTGGACAGCAGAACTTCAGTTACCTCTGATTATAAATTAGTAAAGTCACTAAATCTACACCTTAATGTAATTCTGAAGTCAGTGACATCTTTATGTGGTTACTGCCAATTAATGAATACAAAAAACTAGAATTTATGTACTGATCCATATTATATTTACATAATGAGATATATTATGTGATAAAAGCTATATCCATTATGTGATAAAAGCTATATCTATTGCTGTTGAGTTGATTCTGATGCCTAGGGATCCTATAGGACAGAGTTGAACTTTCCCATAGGATTTCTAAGGCTGTAATCTTGACAGAAAGAGACTGCAACATCTTTTTCTCACAGAGTGGCTGGTGGGTTCAAACTGCTTACCTTTTTGTTAGCAGCTGAATGCTTAACTAATGCACCACCAGAGCTCCTTATGTGGTAAATAAACCAATAAAAAACAAACAAAAAAACCCCACTGCCATTGAGTTCATTCTGACTCATAACTACCTCCTCCATTGGGTTTCCGAGGCAGTAAATCCTTACAGAAGTAGATTGCCCCATCTTCCTTCTACAGGACAGCTGGTGGGTTTGAACTTCCAGTCTTCTGGTTAGTAGTCAAATGACTTAGGCACTGCACCATCAGAGCTCTTTCCTTATGTGATAATATGGTGTAAATGTTTTTACCTTTCTTTTTAGGCAGCCTGTTTTAGTTCTTCTGGACCACTCCATAGAGTAGTATATTAAATTATTACTAGAAAAAAATAAAATATCACTCATTTTTTCAAAAAACATTCTTACCCCTCAGAATTAGATAGTGGATGGGACATACTAGTTCTGTATAATTGCTCATTCACACGTGGAACATGGAAGGTGTTGTCTTTCTGCTCAGGTATGCAGCGGCTGTGCACATGCTGAGTGACATTTCTACTGCAATGGCAAATGGGGACTGGGATGAAGCCTGGAAGCTTGCACAGCATGCACGGAAGGATTGGAACCAACTGAAGAACCACCCTTCCCTGAGGTGAGGTTTTCTTTTTTTAGGTACATGAAAAAATGTACTTATTGACCAAGTTGTTCCATCACTTAAGGTGATTTTTTTCCTGAGAACACACTGCTTTTGTTTTGTGGCCAAACCAACTGTGGAGTTGAATTTCCTGCTTGCTTCACATAGAGGCCAAGTGTTGTATGAAATACATGGAGAGTCTGAGCTTGAAGTGAACTCTGTGTAAGTAGACCCCATGCAGTGGGGACCTTAGGACATAAATTTCATAAATAAATAATGTTGACTTAAAAACAAATTATAGCCAGGATATTAGATTAGTGTAGAAGAGGGTTGGCAAACTTTTTGTGTAAAGAGCATAGTAGTAAATATTTTAGGCTTTGTGGGCCATAAGGTTTCTGTGGCTTCTGCCCAACTCTGCCACTGTAGTGCAAAAGGAGCCACATACAGCCCATAAGTGAATGAGTGTCATTGTGTTCCATTAAAACTTTATTTATGGACACTGAAATTTGAATTTCATATGGTTTTCTCATATCACATAATACTATTCTCCTTTTGATTTATTTTAATTATTTAAAAATGTAATTAAAAAAAAGCCAAAAACTGTTTTTAGTTTGCAGGACATACAAAAATCAGGTGGTGGGCCTTGGATATGGACTGTGAGCCATAGTTTGCTGACCCCTGCCTTAGACAGTGACTTAAGATGTGAACAACTGTTAATATTCTAAGCAACCAAGGAAATCGTGGGGTGGTGAGGATATATGGGTTTATGGTATAGAAAATTATATAAAAGTAAAAGTATTTAGAATACATCTTTTATAAAAATAAAATTCTATCTGCTTTGTCATTTCTTATAATTGTCTTACAGCAAATGAAACAAATTATTAAACTACTGATATAATCTTCATTTTAGATACCATGAGGATTTACCACTCTTTCTGCGGTGTTTTACTGTTGGGTGGATTTATACAAGGATTTTGTCACGAGCCGTTGAAATATTGCAGAGGCTTCATATGTATGAGGTTAGAGCACATCTTCCACTGTCTGCTTCTTACTGCTTTGTCAGTGATAAGCCTGTGAAGGAATCCCCACCTAGATCTCAATATGTCCTAGGTATTTGGTCAACATGTAGTAATGTAACAGAAGCATGTTTAATATAGGCAACTCTCCATCTTGTGTAAATAGAAAGATGGCAGATAATGGCAACCTGTTGCACTTACTCATGCCTTGATGAGGCTATGTGCTGGGGTGACCCTGGAGGTCATGGACAGAACCCTGTGTCCCCAAGCCTGCACTTCTTTCTTGGTGTGTGGCTTGGGAGGTCTCCAGAAGAGTCTGAGATGGAAATCTGACATCTACTTATTCTTTCCTGTCAGCTGTCATTGACTGTTTGGAAATAACTAACAATCAGAAGCCAGAAATTTGGTTATGTTCTTACATGAAACATTGAGAGATTGTTAGCGTAAACTATTATGTTTGCTATTTCCATATTAATGGATATTTTACAAAGGGGCTATTCTAGAGATGAGGTTCTTGACCCTGAGTCTGAAGATGGGCATTGGGAGATCCATGAATCCTCAAAATTGTGTGTGTACATGGGGTTGTGCATTTTTCTGGGTTGAATCGTGTTTCAGAGAGATCCATGACCCATATAAGGTTAACATAAAGAACAACTAAAAGGTCTGTATGGGAATCTAGGCCAGGGGTCTCCCTTGCTGAAGTGGGATATTTGGATTATCTCCTCATTATGGTCTTGCTCACCCCAAAGTCCCTCCCACAGTTGGTCTTGTGACCTCTTGGGTTCCCAGAAATGAATGTGCTCACTACTTACTGTGCTCAGCTCAGCTGCCTGGAACCTGATCCTGTGAGTCTCTGTGGTGATTGACTTGGCTGCTAGGTGAGTATTATGCAGTGTTCATAGATCTCCTTCAAGTTTGCTGAGTGGCATGGACCTAGGGTGCTTCAGGAGAGTCCTGTACTCAGAAGGACTTCTTAAATCACCTGTCCTGTCATGATATACTTCATAAATATACTATGCCAATTTTTTAAAAATTCTAAACATAATTACAGTTAACTTTTCTGTGAGTTTAATGGGCTTTCTTTATTACTTATTGCAATAGGAAGCAGTCAAGGAACTTGAAAACCTTTTGTCTCAAAAGATTTATTGTCCTGAGAGCAGAGGGCGATGGTGGGATAGACTGGCGCTTAACTTACACCAGCATCTGAAATGCCTTAAACCGGTAAAATAGGCAAAGTTTGAATATATTTAACCTTTTTTTAAAATTGTGATTTAGGTGAAAATTGACAAAGCAAATTCACTTTCCATACAGCAGTTCACATACACTTTGTCTCATGACATTGACTACAATTTACCACAAGGTAACAGCTCCCCTCCCACCTCCTCCCCATAGATATTTCTTCCCTGCGTCCACTCCATGCACTCCTGCCCCCTGAGCTATCTCCCTATGCATAAACAGCCCTTTTTTCTCCCATTATTATTCTCTTCAAGGAGTGTATCTACTTCAGGTAAATGTTCAACTCATATGCCTGTCTTTTGTTTGGCTGGAGGCCACCGGTGTGGGTTCAATTCCAGATCTGAAGGGCAGCTAGGGGCGATAGTCTCAGTAGTTCCACCAGGCTCTATCAGACCAGCAAACCTGGTCCTCTCCTTTTTTTTTTCCAAATGATTTTGAGTTTTGTTCCACATTGTTCTCCCTCACTGTGCAGAATCTCCTACATAGATTCCACTCCAAGTGGTTGACAGTGGTAGTCGGGCACCATCTAGGTCTTCTGGTCTCATAGTCATATAGGCTGCAGATCAGATGGTGTACCAGTCGCTAGGACTAATTCTTTCCGTGAATCTTTAGTTTTCTTCATTCTTCTTTGCTCTGGACAAAGAGAGACCCATTGTTGCATCTAGATGGCTACTTGCAAGCTTTTAAGATCCCAGTCACTACACGCCAGAGTAGGAGGTTGAACAATGTTTTGTGTAGTATGTTATGCCAGTTGAGCTTTTAATGTCCATGCGACTATGATCCCAAGCCCACAGGTTCAACTACTTGGTCCCTGTGGGTAGCTGGCTGTGACCAAGAAGTGACTACAACCTTGTCCCTTGTCAGCTCTACTATACACCTGGTAATTCAGATCATACAAATACACTTATAGGACCATTGTCTGCCAACCCTCTATGTGGTCTTGGGTACACTCCCTGCTTCGTAGACATACCTAATAGTTAAGCCTGTCCACTCATCTATCCACCCGTATACCCATGTTTGCCTTTACTGACAATGCAGTACTGTATGTGCAGAAGGGTTCATTTTTGTTGTCTGTACCTCCCATGTACCTGTCTTCCTCTTCCTCAATGCCACCATGTTGATCACTCACATTGCCCTTGTCTTCACCCAAATCAATACTTATCTCTAGCTGTCTAACAGTGTTCCCTCCCCTCCCCTCCCACCCGTGGTAACCAACAAAAAAATTTCCTTCCATATAAACCTTTCCTTGACTTTTACAATAATGGACTAATACAGTATTTGTCCTTCTGTGATTGACTTTTTTTCACTCAGTATAATGTCCTCCAAGTTCATCCACGTTATGCAGTGTTTTGCAGATACTTCATTACTCTTTTGGGTTGCATAGTATTCCATTGTGTGTATGTACCATGGTTTGGTTATCCATTCCTCAGTTGATGGACATCTAGGTTATTTCCATCTTTTGGCTATTGTAAATAGTGCTGCGATGTACATGGGTGTGCATATGTCTGTTCTTGTCATGGGTCTCACTTCTTTAGAATATATACCTAGTAATGGAATGGCTGGGTCAAATGGTATTTCTAATTCCAACTTTTTAAGTCCCTTGTCAGATATGTCATTGCCAAATATTTTTTCCCAATATGTAGGTTCTCTTTTGACTCTTTTGGAGAAGTCTTTGGAAGCACATTAAAAATTTGATTTTTAGAAGGTCTCAGTCATCTAGTTTCTCTTCTGCTGTATGTGCATTTTGAGTTATGCTTGATAGTTTATTTATGCCATATATTAGGGCCCCTAAATTTGCCCCTAGCTTTTCCTTGAGGAACTCTATAGTTTTAGGTTTCACATTTAAGTCTTTGATCCATCTGGAGTTAATTTTTGTGTGTGGTGTGAGGCACAAATCTTGTTTCATTTTTCTGCAAATGGATATCTAGTTTTGTCAGCACCATTTATTAAACAAACATTCTCTTCCCCATTTAATGGATTTCGGCCCTTTGTCAAAGATCAGGTGACCATAGGTCAATAGATCTATTTCTGAGTTCTCAATTCTATTCCATTGGTCTGTGTGTCTGTCATTGTACCAGTATCAGGCAGGTTTGACTACTATGGCTATATAATAGGTTTTGAGATCTGGCAGTGTGAGACCTCCTACTTTGTTCTTCTTCAGTAGTGCTTTGCTTATCCGTGGTTTCTTTCCTTTCCATATAAAGTTAGCGATTGGTTTTTCCATATCCTTAATAAATGTTGATGGGATCTGGATTGGGATTGCATTGAATGTATAGATTGCTTTGGGTAGAACTGACATTTTCACAATGTTCAATGTTCCTATCCACGAGCATGGGATGTTCTTCCATTTTTGTAGATCTCTTATGGTTTCTTGAAGTAGCTTTTTTATACTTTTCTTTGTACAGGTCTTTTGTGTCCCTGGTAAGATTTATTCCCAAGTATTTTATTTTTTTGGTAGCTATTGTAAATGGTATTTCTTTTTCAGCAATGTCTTTGCTGGTGTAGAGGACTCCAACTGATTTTTTGGATGTTGATCTTGTATCCTACCATGATGCTAAATCTCTCATTTAGTAAAAGTAGATTTTTGACTGAGTCTCTTGGGTTTTCTAGGTACAGTATTATCATCAGCAAATAAGGATAGTTTGATTTCTTCCTTTACCAATTTGGATGGCTTTGATATCCCTTTCTTGCCTTACGGCCCTGGCTAGGACTTCCAGTACAGTTTGAATAGAAGTGGTGATAGAACCTTGTCTGGTTCCTGTTCACAAGAAGAATGGTTTCATTCTCTCTCCGTTGAGTATAATGTTGGCTGTTGGTTTTGCATAGATGCCCTTTATTATGTTGAGGAATGTCCCTTCTATTCCTATTTTGTTGGGAGTTTTGATCAGGAATAGGTGTTGGATTTTTGAAGATATTTAACTTTTAAGTACCAGAAATAAATATAATCGGAACATTATTTTGTTAATATTCTTTTGTTTATTCTCTTTCATCCAACCATGTCTTTGGCTGAGTTCTCTAGAAGAACAAAACATGTATATAAATATCTATAGAGAGATTATTTGAAGGAAATGGCTCATGTAGTTGTGGAGGCCCACAGGCCCCAAATTCATGGGTCAGGTGTCAAGCTGGAAGTTTTTTCTGATACACAGTAGTAGGGGCTGACAAACCCAAAAATCTGTAGGTTAGCCAGTTGGCTGCTGGCAAATGGAGTTATGGGAGCTGGCAAATTCAAAATCTGCAGGTCAGGCAGCAGGCTGAAGGGTTCTCATGTTCTAAGGACCATTGGTCAGAGGATGACAAGATAAATATAAGATTGATAGAGAGAATGAGAGCTGTGCCAGATCATTAGTTTATATCATGAATGCAGCCCACACCTCCAGGAAACTGATTGGCTACTCACATCAATCACAAAATGGAAGGTAATATATAGTGTCTGACAAAGCACAGAGAATTATGGCCTCACCAGGTCGACACATAACATTAACCATCATAAACCCTGAAAGAAATAATAGCCACTAAAACAATCATTAATGCAAAGACATGATATTTGTTTTTCTTCACTGATTTGGATGATGCCTTGGCAGTGGTGGCTATGTTGGGATTTAGGACTCAGCATCTAGGAGTTAAGGGAGAGGGAGTGTCAGGTGTCACCATCCTCAGCAGATGCCTTCCAGGAAGATGTTTCTTGTTGTAGAAATGGTGATTTAATTCATTTGTTTGCACAAGACCTCAGGTAGAAAATTATTTATTTATTTATTTAGTCATGGCTTCTTTATTAAGACATAGACAATAACTCCAGCAGTAGTTCCACTAGTCTTTATGAAAGAAAAATACATAATTCTAGAATTTATATTTCCTTTTGGAAAGTCTTAGAGAGTCCTGAGTAGGTCTTCTGATTTCATGATCTAAGAGCAGGTGTTATGAAACATATGAGAACAAGTTGGTTCTTGCCAGGCATATCAAGATTCATGTTATTTTATTTTGACACTTTTTTTTTTTTTAAATATTACATCACTGTCAGTTTTCTTATTGGTGAGATCATATAATCTTTTTATTAAAGTAGTCCTGACAGTAAAATTATAGGATTTACATCAGTTTTCAAACCCATAAAACTGTGAAGTAGAGGGTCCAATTCCAACACTTGTTAATATCCTTAAAGCAACTTGTGACTATACCCAGACACCCACATTCTAGATTCAGTCCCATTAAGCACTAGATGAGAGTGACACACATGGGACCTTTCCTGTATGTTCACTTTATTTATTTATTTATTTTATTGTGATTTGGGTGAAAATTTACAGAGTAAATACACTTTCCATACAGCAGATCACATATACTTTGTCTCATGATATTGACCATAATTTAGCACAATGCGATATCTCCCCTCCCACTTCCTCCTGATAGTTACCTCTTCCCTATGTCCATCCCTCCATGCATTCCTACCCCCTGAGCTGTCTCCCTGTGCCTTAGTAGCCCTTCTTTGTCTCTTGCTTGTTCTCTCCAAGGAGTCTATCTACCTCAGGTAAATGCTCAACTAGAATGCTTGTCTATTGTTTGGCTGGAAGCCACAGGTGTGCATTCAATTCCAGACCTGAAGGGCAGCTAGGGGTCATAGTCTCAATGGTTCCACCAGGCTTGAT